TCTCTCTCTCTCTCTCTCTCTCTCTCTCTCTCTCTCTCTCTCTTCGAGAAACGAAACGGGAATGCATGTTCCTGCGAAAGCGGGAAGATGCATTCCCGTTTCGTTTTTCGAAACGATAGAAGATGAACCCATTCATTTTTCTTATTTCTTTGTTTTTTTATGTTTTTTTTTCCCGTTTTCTTTGTTGTGTACCTTTTGCACGTTCGGATCCTTTTTTCTTATTTCTTTGTTTTTTTTTCGTTTTTTTTTGCCCATTTTTTCCGTTGTGTACGTTTTGCACGTTCGGGATGCCTGCGCCCGGTAGTCCAAGCCTCGGCACGGATCGGCGCACCGGTCGGCCGAGGCTCGGACTCGATAGCTGGGCCAAGTACTGGTGGTTTAAATAGCCAATCTATGAGCGGGAAAGGGTGCAAGGCGAGCAGGGGGAAAGGCAGAGAGGGCAGGGCGAGGGGACAGGGCGTGGAGGTGGGCAAGGGGGCTCCTTCCGGTTAAGGGCAAAGGCGGGGGTGAAGCGGGAACGCAGCATCGGTGGCGAGAATATATTAGAGAGGAGCATCAGGTATGGAGGATATTCTTGGACTTTTGATGTACAAAGGAACATTGGACCCGCTTTCCAGCAGGTGTAGCTTCCCACCAATAGACGGAGCAACCAGGAAGCCAGCTAGGAGAGGGTGCTCTTATCACATATCCAGTTGAGCAACTGGCTTGGGAAAAAAAAGAAAAAAAAAAAGTGATGTGAGGATGGGTTGTGTGTGGTGTGTGTTGAGTTGGACACTACAACCTTGCAGGGGTGGGGTGGATATCACGACCGGTACGATTCCACTTTTGAACACCATGTCCTGGCTGTAGTGGTTAAGAGACTTAGCTCTTAAGGCCGAAGTCGCCGGTTCGAATCTGTGCTTGCATGGAGGAGGGCTTAGGCCCAGACGTACGGAATCCATACTACTTGGTTGCGTTTTCGCCTACTGCGAAAATAAAACCGATAATATTATCGGTTTTGTTTTTACAGTATGCGTAAACGACATTCCACGTCCACCCCTCCTTTCCCGCCTCGCAGCTTCCACGCGCCTGTCGGTAACTTCCTGGTTGATGCGGAGGCGGAGCCAGATAGGGAGAGCGGCGGGAATGAGGGAGGAGAAACGACGACGGGTTCTTGGCTGCGTTTTCGTCTACTGCAAAAATAAAACCGATAATATTATCGATTTTATTTTTACAGTATGCGTAAACGGCCCACTTTCATCGTCCTCCCTCTTTCCGCGCATCCACCACACCTTCCCCTTTTGCCACGCGTCCTGCTCAAACCTCTCCGCCTTTCCCGCCTCACTGCTTCTGTGCGCCCTTCAGTAACTTCTTGGTTGATGGGGAGGCGAAGCCAAATGTGGAGAGAGGCGAGGGTTTTACAGTATGCATAAACGGCCCACTTTCATCGTCCTGCCTCTGAGAGTCATGTCGCCCCATCCTCGACTTAAAGGTTAACGGGGCGGAAACTGGGGGTAAGATTGATCGAGAGGCGGAGCTAGATGGGGAAAGCGGTGGGAACGAGGGAGGAGACGAGCGGGGAAGGGTGCAAGGCGAGAGGGGGGAAAGGCTGAGAGGGCAAGGCGAGGTGGCGGGGCATGGAGGCGGATGAGGCGGGTTCCTTCCAGCTGAGGGGAAAGGCGGGGGTGAAGGGCGAATAAGGTGTCGGTGGGGGAAGAGCAATGTGAAGGGAGAAATGTAGGCGGGAAGGTGGTTATTTTCACATATAGCGAAACTACAACCGATAACATTATCGGTCTTATTATCAGAGTGGACTGGAACCACTTGTCGGGCCGGGCCAAAAATAAATAAAAAATATAATAATATATATTTATTAATTTATTTATTTATTTTTTTGGTAAAAAACATTGGTATGACCTTGAGGCAAAAGACTAAAAGTTGTTAAGTTTATTTTTCTGCATAACATATTTCTTTCAGATTTTTTCGATTTTCTTTTTTTTGGGTGGGACGAGGGGGGGCACCGGAGGAGTTATAGGCAGAAAGGTGCTTGTTTTTGCATACAGCGAAAATATGACCGATAATATTATCAGTCATATTATCAAAGTGGCTTGGAACCACTTGCCCGGCCGGGCCAAAAATAATAAAAATAGTATTTATTTTTGAATTTTATTTTTTATTTTAAATTTGGTAAAGACGTTTTGACCTTGAGGCAAAAGTTGTTCAGTTTATTTTTCTGCATAATATACCTTTTTTGAAGTTTTTTCCGATTTTTTGGATTATTTTTGTTTTTGGGGGGAAGGTGGTGCGACCTGCCGCGACGACGTTGTTCCACATGCACCATTGAGCTAGGTCCTCGTTGAGCTTTAGACAACGTGCGACCTGCCGCGACGACGGAGATTCGAGTACTCGAAATCGCGCGGTCGATTTTCGTTTTCCCTCGGTTGTGTCCGAATCCGACGAGACCATTTTTCTTTCTCAAGACATGTCCTATTTTTTTCGGTGTTGTCATCATTGTGGATGTCAGTCCGTTTCGCCAGTTCCATTTTTCATGGCCCGACGGCGTGATTGTAAGTGTACTGGACAGTGAAGCGAGGCATGTTTATGGTGTGGTCGTCTGCATTGGGGCCCAAAGAACGACCTCGTTCACATACCGAAAGGCCAAGCCAGTTCCGACGTTTGCATGAGGTGCTGTGACAATTCGCGGGTAGCTTGCCCACACACACAGTAGGTGCAGTGCACCTAGACTGGGTCGCCGACCATATGCATTCGAGGATTTCCACTACCCAGGCACGCGAAGGCCGACGTCAAGCAGCAAGACCCAAGTGGATGGTCATCCTCAAAATCGGAAAGCGCCGAAATCGGAAACGTGTCAGAGGGCAGTAGAATTCCTCTGAAGTGCTATGTCATCATGATGACCCACCGCGAAATCAAAAGAAAAGAAAACCAAACTTTTTTCGATTCTTGATTAAAAAAAGCAATATCGCATTTCTTCTGAATTAAAAAATGCATTTTTGGTTGTCACACCATTGAGGTAGCTCAACTCAACGACGCATGTGGGACAAGGTCCCGGGGGAATTGTAGGCGGGAAGGCGGTAGCTTTCGCATATAGCGAAAATACGACCGATAATATTATCCGTCGTATTATCTAAGTGGCCCAGGACCACTTGCGTGGCCGAAAAAATAAATAAATTCAATTTATATTTTAAATTTGGTAATGACTTTTGATGTGACAATGAGGCAAAAGTTGCTCAATTGATTTTTTTCACAATATATTTTTTTCCCAAAGTTTTGATATATATATATATATATATATTTATATTTTTTGTTGGGACCTTCTTTGGTCCCTGCACGACCAGGCTGCCCCGACAAACAAGGTGACCTAGGGGGACCGACAGGCAACCTACTATTTTTGCAGTTTGCGAAAATGACAGAAACAAAAAGTCGTCCTCCCTCCTATCGCCCCGTCCACGCCACTCTCCTCCCACCGGATCCATCGTCCCCCTTCGGCCCCGCCTTCCCCCTCACCGTGAAGGTCCACCATCGATCCCCTCCCTTCCGCCTTTGCCCCCCTCAATCAAGAAGTCCTTTCAAGCATTGCCAACCAATCTAAGAGCCGGGAAGGTCTGTTTATGCACCCCACCTCTAGTGCTGGCACAGGGCCTTTCGAGAAATCCTTTCTAGCCTGGCAGGGGTCAGTATCGTACAATGCACAAAAGGCTTATCTATGCAACCCACCTATAGCGTCGGACTTCACCTGCTTTCTTGATGACAAATGACATTTGCGTCCAACATTTTATAAAATAAACATTTTATTTGCTTTGCATCTGACAATGTTGAAAGGATGGTATTTTATTTTTTTGTCTAACAATTTTTTTGATTTCTTTTAGTTTCCCCAAAAAAATATTACTTTTTTAATTTTGCATGCAAAAGATAGTAAAGTCCAGTTTTCAAAAACAGTCCACTTTTCACGAATTCCTTGTTCTCTCTCTCTCTCTCTCTCTCTCTCTCTCTCTCTCTCTCTCTCTCTCTCTCTCTCTCTCTCTCTCTCTCTCTCTGTGGATGGATGGATGGATGGATGGAATTTCAATCAGTTACATAACACATAGGGGATGTGCACACACACATGACAAACAGGATGCGCACATATAGATGAAGATTGCGAAGCAAAATTATTGTAACTTTGCGGGGATGCATTCGAAATCGTGCTTATAGCAGGTATACGTGAAGTCAAGCCGACATACACAGATTTCTCAAAAACACCCTCTTTGCTCTCTGGCTCATCATCTCGACTTCTTTTATGTCCAGTTTGAGAGTAGCTAATACCTCCATGCAGTGAATCCACCATTATTTCAGTTCATAAATAGAAAAGAAGACAAACGACCGAACAGTGCCAACACCCACAGTTAACAGAAGATCGTCACCACTGATTGGGGATGAAGCCAAACAGATTGCCAAGATACGCTGGAAGAAATACGTGATGATCAAACCTCTTCAAATCAAGATCCTCCAGTGGCTTATAACATACGCAGCCCTGCCCGTGAATAACTGCATTACCATAAGAAGAAGGAAGAATGATCCTACCACCTCTGGCCGCTCCTTAGCCTCTGCTCAGATCAAGGACAAGATTCATGATTCACTGCCTCGTCAGATGTAAAAGGAGCAACCGAGTCCCGAGCTAGAGAAGCTGACCTGTGGAGTAGATTATTCTCCTCCCTCCTTCAACAACCCATCCAGATTGAATTTCTGCTTTGGACTAACACCCCCTCTGCTTTCAGCCAGCCAGAACGGATATCGTATGACTTGATAAGGAAGGCGACACAGTGCCTACACTATCGGCAATCTGGAAAGAGAGGTGCAGCATCACATTCGACAAGACAAGTCTTCTTACGAAGCCCCATGAAAAGGTTTGGGAAGCAACCAATAATCTCATCGAGGCAGAAGTCCTATGCGAACGGTGCAAGGTGAATCTGCTAATTCAAGCTGACCCAGACCCCAGAGTCAGAGAGGAGATGGTCTGTGAAAGACAAGGTAGGTGGCTACGATACAAGGACTGGGCATCAAGTAGGAACTTGGCAGACTGGAAGACTGGCACAACGCGGAGCCATCCACAGCAAGACAAGGCCGTCAGCATCCCGAGACGCAGAATCCCATTTGGACATAAGATACACGGCAGGCTGTAGCAATCTGTTAGAGACCACAACTTGGAGCGGACTCGTTGAGACAGCGGGACTCACTCGTGTGTACAGCTCCATCCGGCAGACTTTGGGAAAGGGGGCACGAGAGGAGTGAGAATGGACTAAAAAGCTGACAGTCAATCCTCCAATGAAGGACCTGGTGTACTCCATGCCGTTCAGGGTTCCTTCGGCCAAACGGAAGGAAGCGTGAGCCTTGGCCCTCAGGGTGTAAACGTCGTAATGATATGACTCGCTGGCGCAAAAGGAACCGGACTGATGCTCCCCAGAACGCAAACGGAGCCAGGTGCATTCGGACCTTTTTTTATTTTTAACAAAAGAAGAAGAAATCAGCCCTCCTGCTACTTCTCCAGTAAGGGACGACATTCATAAACAAGGATTAATCCACAGCTTGAAAAGCTCACTAACAACAGAAACACACTGAGTTGATGTGAGTCGCCCGTTCGGCACAGAGACCTTCATTATGAAAGGACTGCTGGTTTCACGGAGTCGGGGTGTCACATCTGATATTCTCAGTGGCCCACAGAAGCACAGATACCTTCATGATGAAAGGACTGCTGGTTTCACGGAGTCGGGGTGTCGCATCTGATAAGCTCAGTGGCCCATATAATGCACTGGTGAATCCAAGATGGATTATTACTCGTGAATAAACACGAAAGAGACAACAACCCTATCCTCTGTTCTTGGAGGTTTCAAAAATCTTATTCTGATGCGAGCAATGCCCGTGCATTCATGATGCGTTGCCAGCACATCTTAAACAACAAGACGGCAGTAGACACTGAATGAAAAGGAAGGCAACTTCTTAGTAGAGGGACTCTGCACCTGCACCTTACTCTAGGTAAGGTACAGAACCATTTACTGCTCTCTTTACCCAACTTAAAAGCATAAAAGCCTAAGGCCGCGACTGAGCCTCTAGAATGGGTGTTCACAGTGGCGCACAGAGTCGACATGTTGTCACACCATCAGTACAGAGAGAACCAAAGAAAGATGTTTGTCTGTGTGTGTGTGTGTGTGTGTGTGTGTGTGTGTGTGTGTGTGTGTGTGTGTGTGTGTGTGTGTGTGTGTGTGTG